GATGCTGGTGGTGGTCCTGTAGTCTGTGATGTGCTGCAGGCCTTGCCACATCCGTCCGGAGTCAGCAGTAGAATAGAAGCCATTCAGCTTCTCTCTGTACTGCCTCTTGGCCACTGTGATGGCTTTCCTCAGTCTGTACTTCACAGCTTTGTACTCCGGCTCCAAATCCAACTGGTGGTCGCTGGGTCTTCCCCCACACCACCATGTGCAGTCCCAAAGTAATGAAACTAATTCCAACAGGTAGCGTAGCACTGATAATAACATCATAGATTGTTAACCGGCAACACATCACATGCGGCAGACACACTGGCCTCAAGCAGTCAAAACAAACAGGTACTGTGCTTCGGGGGAATCCAGCATTGATGAGCTGATCATTCACTGCTTCAGAGTGCTTTACAGGCTGGTTGATAATAGGTTAGAAACCTGCTTTGTCACCTGTCCCATCCAGAAAAATGCCTCATTGTCCTCTGTTTAATACCCTATAACCTTGTCACTGTGAGTGAACCCTGGGTAGCACAAGCAACCCTTTGCTTTCTGTGCCTGATTTTATGCATATATTTTAGTCACTGATCAAAACTTTCAGATGATGCATCCTACAACAGCATTATATATTTTTAAGATGGGCTTCTCTGTTTCTCCGTACACGGATAAAGGGTAAAACATGTTTCTTGCTAACAGGTTCTGAGAGGAGGCTCATGATGACATGTTTACTGTCACCATAATCATGCATGTCATCCTCCCTTTCCCTGTTCCTGCAGACTATCTGTCAGGGTGTGTGGGTGATGTGCGGTGGTCTCTTTCACTGTACCCAGACCTGTACACACCCTCATCCCCATCATGGTCCCTTCATTGGACCTACCGTGACTCCCAGCTGGTTAATCTGCCTGTTAGCCTGCTGGTGGAAGGAGACATCATCGCTCTGAGACCTGGTCAAGAGGCGTTTGCATCACTCAAGGGCATTAAGGTGTTTGTGTGTAGACACAGTATACATGCATGTATGTTCACACTTCCTTTTTTCAGTATGATTGTAATAAAAAGAACCCAGCAGACTTTTAGGTTATGACAGTCAATACTGTTAACGTGATGTAGTACTGTTTTATTTAAATAAATATAGACCAAGTAATTTCCTTTGTACCCTCAGTCACAATTGCATAGATGAAATACTTAATTTGGTTTTCAGTTGAACTGTATTCATGAAAACCCCCTACTAAATGTTCACTAAATTTGTGATGTTTTCAAATAATCATGACTTCAATAATGACCAAAATAATTGTGATTATTTTTGCCATAACTGTACACTGCTAGCAGGGAGAGGATGTTTATAAATCACATAGTTCACCATAGGGGGAAGTCAGGGACTTTTACAGGGTTTCAGGTCAAACCATGCTGCAATCATTGAATGAAATAAAAGATGATTTGACTGGCAGAAGACTGTGCGATTGCAGTTCGAAAATCTTGGCTGGTTGCTTCAACAATATTAAAGTTTGTTTGCATTAAACTTTCTTTTATGTGTCTGAAATAAAAGATAGAGGTAGAAAATTGGTACATGACTAATTTGTGCAGTTTGGTGGACTTATTTAACTGTACTCCACCACAACTCACATCCACCACTCACAATGTTAAGCAAGCACCTCATATTGAATATGCTGGGGTTTGCTAGTAGTATCATATTCAGAATTCAGTACTATGCCTTTTGTAAATGCATCAAATTAAATTTTTCTCTCCATTAGAATGTCACTGGAACATTTTCTCTGCTTTTAAATCTGCACTTGTTACCCTCCACCTTAAGAGCATATGTAACTTATTTAAAAGACCTAAAATATACTACTGTTTTGATGCTGCTTTTTTGTAGTACTTGCAAAACTGTAGTATGGTGTTCCTGGAGCCTTGTAAAACTGCAAATTGTTACACTTTAGTATTTGCACAGATTAATAAATGAGATGTGATGTTTTAATCAGTGAACTTAATGGTGCTGGCATGTGGATTTTGTTACCTTTGAACAGAGGTGGGAGAGATGTTTCCTTGATTCCTGCCTTTCTGCCAAGATAAACTAATCTTCTCCTCATTGTAGTTCCATACCGTATTTATGTGTATTTTTTGTCTTCCCCTTCCCCAGGATGATGAGCACATTGTGTTGGAGCCAGGCGATTTATTCCCCCCATTCTCCCCTCCTCCTTCCCCACACGGGCCAATGAGAAAAAAGGACCCCAGAACCCCCAGCATCACCGCCTCTTCAGAGTGCTCCGGACTCCAGTATTGGATGCAGTCAGGCAGGGAACTCAGCCATGTTGGGTCTGGCTATCACCCTATACAAACTATGAATCCTTAACATTTTTTTAAAGTTTGTTGCACAGTTTGCACAAAAATAACACAAGAAGTATTAAATTTTTTTTATATATTTTATATAGACATCAGCTCTGAGACCAGAGAGAGTATTCTGATGTTCAGTGGTGGCAGTAAACGGGCTAAAAATATATAGTTTCATAATAGGTTATATTACTATGTCCTATTGTCATTTGGCAATCTGAAACACCTAGATGAAGATAGAAAATGTAGAGAATGTGTTTATCTTACATTTTTTTTGTCCATTGTCTTGCTGCTTTTCAACAGGAACAGTTTGGAGCTGGCGCTCTCTCGGCCAGTCACAGTACTAGATAACGAGAGGTTTACAGTGCAGTCAGTCATCACCAAGCTAGCCTGTCCTGTTGTGGTGGTGAGCAGTTAGCATAGAGTTTCTAAAATTTATTTTGTAATATATTTAGGATAACTTGTTGTTTACTTAAAAGAACCTAAATGTAATATGTGCCTCACTGATATGTCTTTGGTCTCTGACTTTAGGTTATGTTCCTGTTAGTGAACACTATCCGCTATTTTTGTGATGCACCCAGCCTCACTCCTGCCTGCTACAATTTCTTTCAGCTTCAGGTACAGTCATTCAGAACTATACACTCATTTATACTACCCTCACTGAAATAACTGGAGTGGACACAATAGGAGAAATAGCTTCTTCTTAATTTATTTGTGAAACCTTTAATTGTGTTAGCAATGAACATACTGAAGTAGACATTTAAAAATTATGCTGAACAAATGAAAACGGATGAAATGACAGAAATGTGTTGTAGGTGATGGGTGTTCTGCCCATCTTGCCCCTGCTCTTCCCTATCATGTGGGTGTTGGTGAATGCCTTTGGAGAGGCCAGGGTCCTTGCAGAGTTCAGTCGTGTGTCACCAGTTGGTCTGGTGAGTGATATAGATGTGTATGTGTGTGTATTTATTTATATA